TTTTCTTTAAGACTTATTTATTTATTAAAAATAAGAGATAATAAAAAGCTTTAACTTTAACCTCTTATTATTAAGCTATTATTAACGTCTTAAATAAGCTTCTTTATCGCTTAAATAATAAGAATAAAGATATTACCTTATAGTTCTTCTTAATCCTTTTTAATTTCTCGCCTCTTTAAATAGGCTAATAATTAGTCTTTTACCCTTTAAATTAAATTTAATAAGAAAGGTTCTTTTATTAATTTCTTAACCAACTATAATAAACTTAAGCAGTTAAACTATAAAAGTATTAACTTAAAAATAATAAAACGTCCTTTAAAACCCTACCTTACCTTAACGTTTTTCGTTAATAAGACTTAATATATCGTAGTTTAAATAGCTATAAACGTTAATGTTAACGTTCTAATAAACACTTAAGTAAAACTACGTAATTACGTTATATTAGACTTTATTATTATCTTTATTTTAAAGCTAAAATAAACCCCTTTAAATTTAAATATAAAGACCTATAGTATTAAAGCTAATAGTTAACTAATTAGCTACTTATTACTATATTAATTAAATCGTTATATAAATAGCTTCTTACCTAATATAAACGAGAATATATAAATCTAGTTATAGACTTCTTAGGTGTACTATAAGTCTTTAAATAATAGCGTAAGCTTTAAAGCTTACGCCTATAAAGTTAAAGATATTTTTTAATAAATAAAAACCCTTATAAAGAAGTTTAAGCTTATAGCTAAAAGACTTTAATAGGAATACATTAATTCCTAAAAAAAGAACGCTAAGAATACTATCTTTAATAATAATAGGTATAAAGAGAAAATTAATAATAATAAAGCTACTAAAGAATTTAACTTTAAAGCTACTTACTTTAATACCTTTAAGGAGTAAGCTATAAAAATTATATTTAAATATATTAACTCTAATAATATCTTAAATATATTACGCGAAAAAAATCTATAGGTTAGAGATAAAAAGCTTTAAATATTTATAGCTTATAATATTATAGTTAATTTCTTTCCCTATAAAGATAACTTTAAGTTTCTTAAGTTTATTAAATAATAGGTCTTTTAATAAGAATATTCTCCTTATATAATTAAAAAGAATAATCCTTATAGTCTTCTCTTTATTAGTTATTAAATTATATAATTAACTAGTTATTTTACTTCTTAGGCCTTCTTTTAAGTTAACCGTTCTACCTAAACCTAGTAGCCTTTAGTATATTACGTACCTTACGTTATAGTAGACCCTAAGTATACGGTATAAAAAATTAACGGTAAGGTAAAAAAGCTAAAAAAGAAGCTAATCTTTTCACCTAAAAGTATACTCTCCCTATCTAATAGCCTAAAAGATTTTTTAAAGGTATATAATACCTTTACTATTATTTTAGAATATATTTATACTTATTATACGAAGATAATTATTAATACTATTATAGCTATTATTCGTAATTATATTAGACTTTATTAAGGATTAATTAGTTAAGCTATATTCTTATATTAGCTTAACTTTAATTATTTTTTAGTACACTTTTATTATAACCTATATATATATTACCCCCTCTTAGGTTAAAAATAGCGAGATAATAAGTATAAGCTAGAGATTATAAATCTACTTATAGCTCTTTATAATATTAAAGGTAGCTAAGTTCTTATAACCAGAGCATTAACAAGAAAACTACATTTTCAATTTTCAAAAAAGCTTAAATAATTAATAATAAATCTAATAAAATACTTGAATTATAATAATAAATACATAAATTAGCTAATATTATAACCAATTAGCTCACATAAAAAAGTGGGTCCTTCTAGCTTATTATAAGCTTAAAAACTAGATTATATAATTTTCTAAAAACACACTACACTACACTACACTACAAAAACTACAAAATGTAGTTTTTATAGTATAGTATAGTATAGTGTGTTTTTAGAAAATTACATAATCTAG